AAGATCACATTTTTCAGATCTGTAATAATTAAGCTGAATAATACTTTTCTCCATACAATTCGTATAATCAGTAAATGTAAATATACCCGGGATAACATGGCGTTGAATATAAAGTGCATATTTTTCATCTGGAAATGTAACACCACTACACAAAGTAAATGAAGAAAGTTCCTTTACAAAATCTGCAACATTATAATTTTCAAACGAGCAGTTATACTTTGTATATAAACTATGGTCTTCTTTCAAAAGCCAGCCATAAACACGACAATATATTTTAAATTAGTTTCAATATAAATTTCAAATTTGTATAACACATAATGAGGCGATAAGTACACAATAGTGGAACGGGAAGTGTAATTAGTAATAAACCAATCATCACCAAGACGAACAGTCATAATCCTACGTTGAAAATTAGTAAATGAGGAGTAACATTTGTAAGACATAGAGGTAACTGATTGCTGTTTTAATAAAACTTCTTCTTATTTTAAGATTGAAGAATTGCCTCTAGCAGCAGATAATGAAATAGTTATTGATTTGATTGGGAGATTAAGTGACGGTATAGCTCCGTCTTTCATCAATTTTTTTACCGTGATCTAAAAACATTTGCAATAAATATAAATACATATAATGCAACCATGATGTTACATTAACACAATTTAAACTATAGTCAGAAATAAAGCAAAAAATATAAAAATTAATTTAAAATATTATAATCCTTTTTTTTTTACATATCCACAACTGTTCGTTACTAAAATGTCGTCCGCAAAAGTGTAAACTATTCATCTGACTTATTTTTAAAACACGATCCTTTGAAATGACATTTATTAACTCTTCTCTCCATTTATTTTTTTCAGGATTATTTGACTCTGTTGGTATAGAAAATACTCTTTCAGTGTATTTCTTCCTTCGCGAAACAGGACATCCAAATATTTAGCAATTAGCACCTGGCATTGTAAGGATGTGTTTATAAAACTAACTTTATTATCAAGTGAAGTGCACTCTCGCTATGTGATTTGTTTTGTTTATTTGACTTATTGTGCACCTTCGGAAGAATGAGAACGAGTAATTTCTGGAACAAAAACATAAACAAAGCGCTGTTGTTTGCTTCCAGACTATATATTTCTTATGACTATGATTTAATAAAACTTTTTATCGGCGTAAAATGCTACCGACTGTAAATTTTATTGGCATAAAGGATTTGTTTTAATTTTATAAAAAAAATTTCAAAATTACCGTCGATAAATTTCTACAGACGAAACGTTTACAGCCGATAAATAATATATGATAAACCTTCGTTGGAGAAATACGTTGTTGAAGAATTAAACTAGTTAAGTACAAATTTTGTCATAGAGGAGGGTAAAAAATTAACTTTTTAATTTGCATTTTTATCATTTTAAATACTGCTTGAAAAGTTTTACTTCTCGTGTTGTCTCTGATTTACCAAATATTTTAAAGCAAAAAATATTCTTCATCAGAATCGGAACAGTCCAAGTCCAAATCCATAAGAAAATGTTAATTTTTGTTAATTTTGATGTTTTCAACTTAAAAACATTTTGTTTTTGACAACCTTTTATGTTATTGATTCGAACAGTAGATTTTCGAAAGTAAATTCAGAGCATAGATATCTGCAAAGTTTTACGCCGGTAAGAGTTTTATAACATTGAATGAAAAAACATTTTACGTTCCTAAATTTACGGCTGTAAAAAGAGCTTAAGTTCCGCCGGTAGAATTTTACGCCGATAAATATATATATGTATATATATATTTATCGGCGTAAAATTCTATATATATTTATCGCCGATAAATATATATATATATATATATATATATATATATATATATATATATATATATATATATATATATATATATATATATATATATATATATATATATATATATATATATATATATCCCCGAGAAAATATCCCCTCGGAAAAAATTCCCCCGGAAAAGATCCCCCCCAAGAAAAAATCCCCCGGGAAATATCCCCCCAAAAAATTATCTTAAATAAAATACTTCATTTTTCATCAAAATGTAAGGTTATGCGCTATTTCTCGGTTGTCGGTAAAAAACAATAAAAAAAAACTCTCTAATACAAAAAAAACTCTCCTAATATTCTATTTTAAAGCTTTATTTAAAATAAATTTTTTATTTTTTTTAACTGTAAATCATGCGCGGAGTATTGCTACATCGACTATCTTATAGCCTGACTCGCAACGGAGTGCTGCTATATCGACTGAGGGTTTGGGTTCAAAGGTATCAAATTATTAAAAAAAATATATATTTTTTCATACTGTTTTCGTCTTGTTTGACTTAATTTCCTTTTATTTTTTTTAAATATTTTTTTCGCTTAAAAGTCCTTAAAATATATCGCTAAATTAACTACGATGGTTCGCAAAAAAGTTCACATTTTACCAGTTTGCAGTTCGTCAGGGTTTGGGTTAGGGTTAGGGTTTCACATTTGCCTTCGAGGAATAGCGCATAACTTGACATTTTGATGAAAAATGAAGTATTTTATATAAATATTTAAAATAAATAAAGAAATAAACATAACTACATATTGATAATTTTTATGTAAAAAAAAAAATTTCTTGTTTGGGAGGATATTTCCCGGGGGATTTTTTCTCGGGGGGAATCTTTTCCGGGGGGATTTTTTCCGAGGAGATATTTTCTCGGGGGATTATTTCGGGATTTTTTTCCGGTGGATTTTTTCTAGAACCATTAAATTAATGCCGAAGTACATTAAATTTTATTGTTTTTTAAAAAACCCGCAATAGTAGTGATTAGAAAGTTTTTTTTAACTAACTGTTTTTTTAATAAAATATACTTTTAAAACATGCGCTGAGTGTTGCTACAACGACTATCTTATAGCCTGCTCCTACGACTGAGTGTTGCTACATCGACTATCTTATAGCCTGACTCGCAACGGAGTGTTGCTTCATCGACTGACAAATAGCCTCACTGGTTCACCCATAATATTCTAAGAAAATATTAAAACTTTCGTTTCATAATCTAAAAAATACTAAACTTAAATTTGTAGTATACTAATATGAATATATGAGTACTTGAAAAAAATAAATATTGCCTTTATAGAAAAACATACACAGCTATAACAATGTTTCAAAGACTCAACTCTGCTCCGTCATGTTTCAAAACGCCGCTCAGTAACTCAAAACAACAAAAATTGGCAATAAACCCTTCACCACTTTTTTATAAATTAAGTGCTTTTTTTTAGATAATATTAAATGACAATGATTTTTTTACTTCAAAAGTAAAAATAAGTTTTTCATAAAGCTTTTATTTTGTATTTTATAGGTAAAAGAAGTGAAAATTTGATATTATTTTTAAAGAACTCTGAAAAATGTGGGTTTTTTATTTAACTCAATTAGAGAATTTGAAATTTGAATAAAAGTATATATTTATTTTTAAAATAATTTTTTGACTCAATATATTTCAAATATACTAAAAAGAAAAAAAAAGTCTGATTTTTTAGTTTAAATTTAAAGACCTCTAAAAAAAAGGAGAAAATATTTTTTTGTTTGTTTATACATCAGCTAAAAATTGTTCAAAAAATGTTCCACCGAGTTCCACAAATATATATATTTATATATATATATATATATATATATATATATATATATATATATATATATATATATATATATATATATATATATATATATATATATATATATATATATTATATTCCAGTTAACTAACATTTCTACTCTAGGAATATAAAAGGATTACAGCGGTCTTCTGCGTTATTGGAAGTTATTAAAGAAAAACAAATGTTGATGATTTCATAAAAACCTTGTTTTCCGCCATTTTGCTAAGAACTTTATGATATCAAAACATGGCCATCTTTATACTAACAGGCCGTTGTCACGTTAAATAAGTAGATCGTTAAATAAGTGGACAAAATGACATTCTACGCATGCATTAGTTTACGGATACTTATTTAACGTAGTAAGTCACGTTAAATAAGTAGATCGTTAAATAAGTAGACAAATTGAACAATCAAGGCATTATTTGTTAAGCCAGACGAATAAATTACAAAAAAAATACGTTAACCGAACTAAAAGCATTTACTTTGTCTTGCAAATTGTTACTATTTTATGGCACTTTTAGAGTGATAATTTACCACTTTTAATAATATTTAACTCACGACATATATTCTAATCGTATTTTATACCTTAATATTATAGTATGACAAGTAACATATTTTTAAGAAAGAGGTTTTTTTAAGGTCATTAATGATATCAAATGAAATAGTCATTTCACAAGGAAGTTTATTATATTCCTAAATAATTTAACTGTGCATTTTAGAAAAATGTTTCACGTTAAATTATTTATCTTTACCCCTTAAGCCTATCAATTGTAAAATTTGTAATTGCTACCTGATTTTACGCAGAAAGTATTCTGATGTTACCACAGAAAAAAGAAGAGAGTTTATTAATTCGTGTCAAGTCTTTTTGTGTGTTAATTTACCTTCTCAAGGACGAAAAAGTTACCCCAGTCGTGGAGGCTGCTTTAGTTCTGGTTACAACCCTCTCACAACTCTTTAACTCCGAAACACAAACCATGATGAACAAGACCATTACGCGGAGAAACAAATTGAACGCGGTAGTACCAGAGACGTGGTGGTGATCGAACTCAGAACTTTTCGATTATGAGGCGAGCGCTCTACCACTACACCACTACTGTACTACCGTTGAATAAAAACCTAGACAGGTATTATTCAACAATTTTAGCGGTGTATGTATAGCACAATAATAATAAAATGTGACCTAAACTTAGTCTACTAATTCTTACTATGTGAATGTTTTTAAAATAAAAACGACATTAAAGAAACGACACACTTTATGCTACACTAAAACTTTATTTTGAAAATAAGATCAAAATATCTTTACACAATATAAATAACAAAATAAAGTAACATGGTTTTTAAGTTCTTTTAAAAATTATGAACTTGGTTGAAACTTGGGTATTTTTGGAAGAAATTCGATTTTTCTACATGGAATTACAAGCCTATATAGTATAGAAATATATTAAAATATAAATAGTATCATTAAATCGTAACGAATAAAAAAAAAAAAAAAAGTACCTGCTTTTGTACCAAAAGAGTACTTAATAAATGCATTTATCAATATACGTCAATAAATTGATTTACAAAATGAACTCTAAATGTGTGCCAGAAGGATTTAAATTTATAAATCAAATAAATATTAAAAATGTTAAAACAGCCATGGTATCAACATGCCAGAATAGTCTATACTTTTACAATATTCTACAAAATAAAGAACAAGCACTAGTTGACCTAAATTAGCCAATTGTATAACTTTACACATCTATAAGACATTTACAAAAATAAAATAAGTAATGAACTTTTTAAATATTAACTAAAACATGCATAAACATTACCAACAATAAAAAAAACAACATGAACAATAGCAAACATAAACAAACTAACAATAAAATAAAAAAAATGTATTTACATATAATGATTGAATTTAAATATTCAATTAAGTCACAAAAACAAAAACAAAAACAGCAGTAACAATAAGATACATTCACAACAATGATAGTACTAAAGGCACACCTTTTATGAAAGTATAACATAGTAACAAAAGGTAACATCTCTAATGTTCCATTCTCAATATATTTAAGGTTATGTTAGCTCATTTCATTACCTTTTTATATAATCAAACTTAGGTTGATACTGCTACACAAATATACTGTCACACCATCATACCGTCGCGTTTCATTTTAATGTACAACTTTATGCACTAACAATGGTGCATCATTTTTACTTGAACTATTAAAGAGTGAATCATAAAACTGAACACACTTTCAATGTGAAACAACATCAGGAGACATTACTTATAAACCCCCAATATAACTTTCTGAAAAGCCACTTGAATGAACAAGTAAAAATGCAAAAAAAACTCAGATATTTTAAACTTGGAAATCTAAATATTTTAGAAAACTGATATAAAAACAAACTTTGTGCTATATCAATCAAGGTGTCATCTGACCAGCCAGATGAGTCTCTTAAAATCTCTAAGGCCTTGTCTTTAGACTGAATTGAAAAACTTGAAAGAAAAATTTAGAAAAATTTGAACTTCGACAGTCCATTTTACAATGATACTATCATTAACAAATAGCTTTTTTCAAAGCACTTTGTTAATTTCAAAGTATTTTTTTAACTGTTAATACTATTACCAGTTTAAACTCTGAACCTTTTTCTCATTGATTGGATTGATGAAAATAAGCAGACTATATTAAATTATGTAAAATTTTATAATCTTTTGAAGAGTATCAAAAATATATAAAATAAAGTAGTTACATAAATTGTTATTTTTTCAGTATATTTACTTTAACAATCAATAATTTTAATAATACATTTTTTTCCAAGTTTTGTTTAAGCAAGAGGTCCAAAAAAGTCTAGGGAAAGTTTGTGTAAAAACTGATACAATCAATCAATCAATCAATCAATTATATATTCTGGAAAAAAGATCTAACTTCCACGGTTGTTACAAATAGTTATAAAAACTAATATAAAGTAAAAACCTCTTTGATGATATAAAACATATTATAGACACATAGTTATAGTTATAATAAAAATAGCAATAAATTTACAAAACAACAATAATAAAAACAATTAATTGTATAATAATAAGAATAACAATAATAATATTACCAGTAAGTATAATTAACACCCAATAATAATGAATAAAATAAAAACATGATAATAATAAATACAATACATATATAACGGAATTGTCAAATAAATATTTAATAGAAGGCTGTTCATTCAATACGTCAACAAAAATTATAAAAACCAATAACTAAAAGAATTCAATCAATACAATAATACAATCTTCCATACAACAATCAATTATATATACAAAGTTACAGTTACAAACAGTAATAAACTGACAAAACGTAACTAATAACGATGACATAAAAACGATTATCGATAAAAGAATACCAAGACTCGATAAATATAATAATTTTAGTTTTTATATAATAGCAAAAATATATTGTAAGTATAATAAACAAATAAAGAAAATATAAACAGAAAAACACTTATTATACATAAAACTAAGGTTATTAAGTAAAAAATGCATTAAATGCATACACAAAATAAATGACACATAAATATAACAATAAAAATACACATCAATATAAACAACGTATTCACTAAACATAACTTATAATTTTTTTCTTGTTCTTTTCTTTTAATGACATTATTGTTTCTGGTAGACTAACGTAATTCATTTCGTATTTTTTTTTCTTTTTCTTTACATTTTCGAACTACTTTTTTTTTTTACCGAATCTTTTTTTTTCTATTTGGTGCGTTATTTTGACTTGCCTTTTATCTTTATTTGTTTGTATCTTTTGATCTTATTTTTACTTCATTTTGTTTTATAATTTGATATTTTTTAAAATGGTATTTTGATTTTTTTTTTCTCCATTTGATTTCTTTCACATCTCTATTTTCAATCATATCTCTATACTACTTACTTTGTATAAGTATATTGACTTATACTAATAAAACTCTATCAAGTAGAAGGGTTTAAAAAGTAGTGGCCCTAGAACAATAAACTTTTTTTGGACTGTACCAAGGGTCACTTTATGAATATTAGGTTCAAATCCATAATAAATTTACAGTTAATTTAATCTTAGACTGTTTTTAATAAATATTTTTAGTAATACTTAATTGCAACACTTAAATATACAACAAAATTAACTAATAGTTTCAGGCAAAATTGACAAATAAGTCAATGCATAAAATGGAAGTCCTAAAACAACTGTAGGTTTTGAGATGCTGAGACATAGTACAAAATTAAATTCAGAAACATACAATAATATAAAATACGTCTTTTATAATATTGTATGTTTCTGAAGTTAATTTTGTACTATGTCTCAGCATCTCAAAACCTACAGTTGTTTTGGGATTTTTATTGTGTATATACACAATAATAATAACCTCTTAAACAGTGTTTAAGAGTTTATTATTATTTTATATAATTTGTGTTTAAAACACAAATTATATAAAAGTTTAACTTTTATATAAACATACCACAAAGTTGACATTTTTTATTATAATAATTTATTATTCCACCAGCGACATACTGCTAAACATCTTCAACTGAGTAATTATAGACTGGCAATTTAATTATATAGTTTAAAAAAATTCAAAAATATTATCATTTTTGTTTATATCTAGCGTAAACAAGGCTACTTATATATAATTTATACCTAGCGTAAACAAGGCTACTTATTTAACGACAGATTTAACCTACCTAACGGAAGCTTTACACCGTATTTACGCATGCGTTACGCTTGCGCATAACTGAATGTCTACTTATTTAACGATCTACTTATTTAACGCGACACCGAGTAAACAGACAATTTGTGCGACAAACTGGATGCCAGTGTTAAGCAAAAGTTAAAGCGAGAAGTTAAATATAGATTCTAAAATATATTTGTATATATTATAACTTGCTTCTTCAAATTTAAAAACTTGTTTTGATCAAGTTCTTTTTATTACAATAATTGCCATAATTCACCTTAATTTGGTTAAATTGTTTAACTTCAATTCTCTTTGTTAGCTTGTATTATCAACGCTTAAATGTAACTGAACAAAAGAACTGTTCAGAAGAAAAATAAATATCACTTTTTTTTGTTAAATTTTCCAATAGATTATTAATATAAAATTTTCATCCTATTTATATATATAAGTTAAAATACCCTGCCAAACTTTTTTTAATTTTTCAGAAAGTGTTTGAAGGTTTAAGGATGATGTTTATTAAAGTTAAGTAAAGAAAAATAATGATGTATGTCTTGTCAGCCTTCTCAATATTTAGGTTAAACAGTAACTTCTTCAGAGTTTGTAGATTTATATGGAATATGTAAGCTAGTTTGGTAAAATATCTGTAATTTTTTAATTTTTTTTTAATTTAAATGTTTAACTATTTCTAATTAACAAGACAGTGTAAGATGCAGTAACAAGCTCAGAACAACCTCTGCCTCAGTTGAAAGCTGAAAATTTATACTTTGCATACTTTAAGTATGTTACCATTAGTTTGGTGCAACTGTATATAAACTTTGGATTGACCATGCTTTATAGAACATAGACATTACATTTGACAAAAAACACTTAGAAATCTTGCAAAATTGCACACATGCAAATTCAAGTTAAATATCTCAAGAGTTTATATATACAAAACATATTTTATTATAACACAAATAATCATAGCATGATAACTGATTTTGCTCTTTTTTTTATTTGGTTAACATATTTGACTTCAATACTTTTTCTTGCTTTTAATTTCATTGTTTATATGTAACTGCGCAAAAAATTACTGTTGAGTAGACAAACATATAAATTTCACTTCTGTTGTTAAATTTTCAAATAATATTTTATACATACAGTTAATATAGCCTGCCAAAATTTTTCTTTTTTTGAAAAAGTGTTTAATGGTTTAAGATTATGTTTTATTAGAGTTATGCAATAAAAAATAAATCAGTCAAACAATAGTTGAAACAAAACATGAAAACAAATCCTTCTTAAAGCTCATATATTGACATGGTACATGTAAACTAGTTTTGCAATCAGCACAAATTTTCTTTTTATAAAAACTCTGATGTTCAACTCTTTATAATTAACGTATAAATCAATTTATAAATAAAGTTCTTCATCAGTAGTCTGGTAAAACTGCATATAATCTTTATAAGCAAAAGTACTTCACAAGTAGTCTTGTACTACTGTATATAAACTTTGTATTTAAGTAATCTTTAAGGTCAAAAACATATTTTGCCAGAAATTAATTTATAGATCTGTAGTGTAGTAAATTAAATGGTCTATAATTAATTTTCAACCAACATAGAAGGCTTTATTCTTCATATAATATGTAAACTAAAATATACAAACAGCTTAGTTTTAGTATACACATAATTAAATTCAACAAGGATAATTATAACTATAAAAATCAGCACAAGATCTTTTCGAATTACACTTTTTTTCCATTTCTTTAAATTAACAACAGATAAAACCTCCATTACCAAGATAAACTTTATTGAAACTTTGAGATTTTTACGAGTAAAAACTCTCTGTTACAAATAGATTTTGATACCTTTTAAATATTTTAAAGAATAATAAAATAAAACAAACTTTTTATGTTGATAGTAACACAAGACTTGTATTGATAAACTTAGTTTATCATTACTATGAAATTTATTTCAAAATATGTTTAAATTTTAAATATATTTTAAAATAAAGCGCACTTGCCTCTCTTTCAAAATTAGCGAATCAGATTGCTCATATTTCTGACTAATCTGAGCCTGTATAGGGTTTCAAAATATGCCTCCCGCTTCCTGACCAAGCCTGTGGTGTAAACTTTGACATGTTGATTATTACACAATAAAATGTTAATTAACACTCTGACTTTTTGACCGTAATATATGAAAAAGTCTTTAAAATTGTAAAAGTTAAAGCTATGAATAAAGATTTTCAATAATCAGACATAAAGACTTTTATATAAAAACTTACCATTTAATAAATTTTGTTCATTCAACTTCTCAGAGCAAACATTGAACTTCTGTAAAGAGTTTCGAGCATGGCCTACTATATTATACGGCCGTATATGTTACATTTTAGAGGCCAATTCTAAGAGGCCTATTTTCGCACAAAAAAAGGCAACAAGTTGAATGATAAAACTATTAATTTTAAACTTGCATATTATGCAAAATAAAAAGCAACTTGCATAATAAGTAGAACTTGCAAATTATATATATATATATATATATATATATATATTATATATATATATATATATATATATATATATATATATATATATATATATATATATATATATATATATATATATATATATATATATATATATATATATATATATATATATATATATATATATATATATATATATATATATATATATATATACCTTGTTTAGTTATTAAATCTGAAAGGTTATCTAACACTGCAAAACATCCACATGTAAAATCTTTAAGTGAAAGTGATGGTACTGTAAGACCACCTCTGGAAAGTATTTGTAGATATGGACAAATAATTATATTGCTTGTATCTGTAGCTAGCAAAGGTTTGCAATAATTACATTTGCTACTTTTGATTAATTTTTTAGCAATGTAACCTGCTATTGTTGTTGCAACTTATATATTATTATATATATATATATATATATATATATATATATATATATATATATATATATATATATATATATATATATATATATATATATATATTATATATATATATATATATATATATATATATATATATATATATATATATATATATATATTATATATAATAATAATAATAATAATAACTGTTTTAGAAAGTTAATAAATACTAAAAAAGCTGAATCATATCATGGTTAACAATTGTGTTGCATATGGTTGTAAAACTGGATACAACAGTTCTTTAGAAGATAAAAAAATTGCTTCTTTTCATTTTCCATTAAAAAATCAACAGTTACTGAATTATTGGGTTCATTTTGTTAATCGTACTGATTGGGTGCCTTCACCAAACTCCGTTTTGT